GTTTTAATATTTAGTTATTTCTTTTTTTAAAAATAGTTTTAATTTTATTATTTATTTCTTTTTTAATTTTTTAAGGTTTTTTAAAAATAAGTTTTAATTAAAGTTAAAACTTATATTTTTATTATAAGTATTTAAACTTAATTTCGGTAGTTTTAATGTTAAAACGAACCCTTTTTTGAGGCTTATAAGATTTTAAGGTTAACTAATATATTTTTATATATTTAATTAGCTTTTTATATAATTAAAAAGAAGTTTTTATTATTTTTAAAAATAGCTTTTTTTATAAATAAATTAACTTAATAATTTTATTTAGTAAAACTTTAAATATATAATTTTAAAACGTAGTTTTAAATTATTAAATTATTTCGTTAAAATTAAATAGCTTAATAAGATATTAAGAAATATTATTTTTATATTTTAATTTTTATATTTTTTAAAGTTTTTATGTTTTTTTAGCGTTTATATATAATTAGTTTAATTATTACGTAAATTTACTTATTTAATTATATTACTTTTTTGTTAATATTAAGTTTAAGCTTTTTTAATTAATAAAAAGTTAATTTAATTAATATAATAATAATTTTAAAAGAAATTTTCGTAATAAGTCTTAATATATATTTTAATTTTTATTTATTATAAACGAAATTTTGCTAAGTTTTTATTATTATATATAAATAATTTAATAAAGTAAATAAAATTAATAATTATAATATATTTTATAATTAAAAAAGTTTTTTATAATATTTATTTAAAGGTTTAAATAAGTTAATTATCGTTTTAAAGGGATTTTAAGCTAAGTTAGCCCTTTAAAAAACCTCGAGATAGTTTTTTAAATAATCGATTTATATTTTTATCGTTATTATTTTTATCGAAATTATTTAAATTAAAAGCTTTTTTTATAAGTTATAAAAATAATAATATTTTTTCGTTTTTAATATTATTATTAACTTTAATTATAATAAATTTTATATAAAAAGTATTAAATTATATACGCGTTTTATTAATTTAATTTTTAATTTATATATTTATTAAGGTTTAAAGCGTAAAAGCTTTAATACGTATTTTAGTTTTAAAGTTTAAATACTTAATCGGCGGGACAAGAAAAATAAATAAGTAATTAATAAAGAGTAATAATAATTATTATTACGTGCTCGCTTAAATAATTAATATATTTATTATTATGTTTATATTAATTAAGGTTTCGCAATTTATTTAATCGCGATATTTTTATATAAAGGTTTAAATAAATATTTTTATATTTTTATATTACGTTTTTATTACTTTTTTAAGTTTAAGTTTTGTTATATAAAGTTAATTAAAGAAAGTATTAATTTGTTTTTTTCGTTATTAAATTTAACTTTTAATATTATTATTAAAACGAACTTATTTAATTAAACCATTTTATAATTTTATAAGTTAATTAACTTATTAGTTTATTAATTATTTTAACTTAATAATTACTTTTTATTAACCTTTTTAAGTAGCGATATATATTATTAATATTTTTTAAACTTTTTTAATAAAAGTAGCGTTAAAAGTTAAAACTTATTATTAATATATTTTAAGTTATTAAGTTATAACTTATATATAATTTTGTTATATATTTTTATAAAGTTTTTTTAAGTTTTATTTGTTTATTATTTATATATTTTATTTTATTTAAATAATTTATTAAAAAGCTTAATATATTTTTTTATAGTTTTATAAAAATTAATAAAATATAAAAAAGAATTATATTAAGCGCTTTTTTTATTATAATATTATAAAATTAAGAGTTATAAATAATTAAAACTTAAATATTTAATTTAATTATAAGTTATTTAATAAATCTTTTTAAAGGTATAATTTAATTATAAAGCTTAAAAAAACGAGAAGTATATCGCGATAATATTAAAATAGGAATTAAAATAATAAGAAAACGCGTTTATATAAGGTTTAATCTCGATTTTAAATAAATATTTCGTTTAAGTAATATATTATAATTAAAGCGATTAAATAATTAAATAATTTTTTAATATAATCGTTTTGTTATTAATTTCGTTTAAAATAAAATGAAATTAACTTAATCGCGTGTTAAAAATATTTCAGGTATTAAGTTATTATTATTTAATAGGTTTTATTAAGTATATAAAAAAAGTGTTTAAATAAATATTAAATGTTATATTAAATAAAAATTAATAATTAAAAATATAAAATTTAAGTTTATTAATAGCTTTTTCGTTATATAATCCTCGTTTAATAATAACTTTTTATTTAAATTAATCTTTTTCGATTTTTATTAATTAAGTATAAAGTGTATTTATTAGTAAAAATATAAATAATTTAATATATATGTTTTTTTATTAATAACGATTTAAAGTGTCGTGTTATTAAAAAAATTATTTAAAATGAGGGTAATTATAAGTAATTTTAAAGATAAGTATAATATAATAAAATACTTAATTAAGTTTTATTAAAAATATCTAATCGGCGATATATATAATAAATATAAGAAATATTAAAAGTAAAAATTGCTTTTAAAAAGGAAAAGAATTATTTATAATAAAGGTATATAAGTTTAAAACGTATATTTATATTTAACTAATAATTATTTTTAGTTTTAAGAAACTTAAGAGTTTAAGTTTTATTTAACCTTTATAAGTTCTCGTTTATATATATATATACGTTTAATGCTTAAGGCACTTATAATTTATTTGCGTGTTAGTTTCATTGTAAGTAATCCTAGACTCTACTTATTATAATAATAGTCTTGGCGTGGGGTCTCCGTGTGACAACAGCTTACTAATATGGCATGGTTTTATTCTATAGCACAGAAGTATATTTATGTATTAGCTTTCGATTTCTTTAATCTCTTGCCTTCTCCTGACCTGCGTTACGAGACACCGAAGACTCCTCAATAACTCCGCAGTTCACATAAAAAGGAGCAGAATGATGGCCTATAGGACATAAAGATCAAGCCCAACGTTTCTCAAAGACACCCGGGGCTATAATCCGTCGTGGTCGTAGATGGGCTTACCATAGTGAACAAGCATCATATATTGACGCCTTGTAGTCTATAACCTCTTCCCAGAGGCATATCCGGCTATTCCCAGGTTTTGTAGTAACCGGTAGCTCAATGTATCCATAACAGTATGATTCAATTCGCTGGGTGATGGCCATCACCAGTCTAGTGGCGTCAATACCGCAACTAGCAGCATTGCATTCTGAGAAATACTGAAAGGCCATGGTCCCATTTAAGTTATTTTCAGTTCAATTCCAGCTCGAGAGCATACACGTCTAAGCTTTTTTTTTCATGTTTGGCCCCCATTGGGCGTCCTTCATCCTCAAAAGGAGGTTGAGTCCCCAAAGATGAGGCGTGTAAGTCTTCCAATCCCCTGTTAGCCATACCCGGATCTTTGTCCAAAGGGAAAAGCTAGTCCACTCATGTTTCCACTGTAAAAGCATGTCATCTGTGATAGTCAGGAATTCGAGATTTCTGGGTAGAACCTCCTCGAAAAACCTGGTTTTATCCGGCGAATATCCCAGCAAAGACGGTATCGGAATCTCCAATCTCTTTAGCGCCTCAAATCCGACGAGAGGTTTCAAGTTGCCTATAATTGGAACGGGAAGAAGTTTTGCGGCTGAGATTGTCAAATCTGTCAGGGTACTTTGAACATGAGATAAATCGATAATAATTTGGTCGAGGTCGATCCTATCCGCGTGGAAGTTGTCTTCGTCGCGGCGGAACAAATCCCAGGAGAGTGCTTTAAGCCCTCTGGTGGCTGAGAGCACATGACCGAGACTCCCCTCCCGTATTATAGTTAAATCTAGCGATGAGAGGTTTGTGGGATCAGGCGGATATGTCGCAGGCCATGTGAAAGTGGCCGGATTGTCGATCGAGGCCACGATGCGCCGAACCGATGGCAAGTAAAATAGCGGCAAGACATCCCGAATGTTTCCGGTATCTGTACGGGGGCGTGTACCGGGGTGGAGAGCAAAATATATGGCAGAAACGTCTCGGAGGCACTTAAAGGTAGGTAGTCCACTATTCCGATTTGTAGGCTCGCACACGGATGATCTAAGTATCATACCGACGAATCGGCTCTCTCGGGTGAAATTCTTGCCGGGATACAGAGATTCTAGGTTCGGGAGCTGTGATATCAAGAGAGCAACAAACGCGTCCATAGCCCCTCGACGTAGTTCTAGTATGAAAGATTCGCCGTACGGCACCTTTATTGCCTTGACAGATTGAATTGCTCTTCCCAACTCAGCCTCGGCAATAGGAATCTTTGGAAGCCCACATCGAAAATATTGGGATATAGGATGTCGCATCCAAGGAGACTGTGCGCACGTGAGCAGCAAGCTCAGGTCTCTGCAGGATGCTTCGCAGCAGCACGGCAATAGGAGGTGGTCGGGATGCCCCATATGTCCACTGGATATTGGAATAAAGGAATGGCTCTGCGAGGATGCGTAAATCCCTGTTGACAAGGCACAAACTGTAGAGATCAGGTTGCCATAACGATTGCAATACCGGGTGCAATATTTCTATCGGGCAGTTAAGAAGAGCAGCCACCATTTTTATTTATTCGGGATAAGTTCGTTAAGCGATGCAGTGCTAGAGACTTTGCATGCATATATGTAGGTAGATACAGCAGGGGGGAAATCGAGGATATCCATATCATATGGAACTGAAGGACCTTGAGGAGTAATTAGGATAAATAATATAAGTGGGCAACGATCTATAAAATATAGTCACGTGAATGCCTTTGATCAAATCGCTACCTAAGTAGCTCTTTGTTATAGTCTTCTTATAGTCGCATTATTTGTTCATATCCCGCGAGTATTTTTATGAATTCTTATTATAAGAGTTATCACTAGCGACAAAATACCATGATAATTCTACTATATAAATAATGGTTTAATGAAATATATTACGAGTTTAAGTAATATGACTTTAAACGATGTGTGAAAACGTTTATACAAAATGACAAATAAGACCCCAGCTTTCCATCAGCACACATGGGGGGCTGGCGCAACGGTAGCGCGGTAAGCAACTACTGTCCTAAACTTACTAGTAGTACTCCATTCTAACAATCATCCAGTCAGATTCCAGTAATTGGGAATTCCTGAAGGTTATGTGTTCGAATCACATGTCCCTCACAGTTTTTTTTTCTTCGAATTAAAAATCTTCTTAGGCCCATAAAAACCATATTAGCAAATTCAAGTCTTTTTTTTTAATCTGTGATAATGTAGCTAAAAAGCTATATACATATATTAATTAGATGTGTATAAGACTATATATAATTAATGGCCATATAATTGTCGATCATAGATATATACATAAAACCTAACTCGAGGCAGCTCAACGTTTAACACTCCTAGGTACCTACCTAGGTGCACATAACGGGAGAGGTGAATATAGTAGGCAGGTAAACTTGAGAGCACAGAAAGGGGGAAAAAATAAAAAAAGGCGTCTAGAAATGCTCTCTAACAAATTGGCATAATCTATATGTTGATCAGTCTAGCACCAAGTATGGCGATGCATCCGTGAAGAAGCATAACTCTCTACCAACCTAGGTACCTAGGTTAGCTGGTCACCAGAGCCCTTGATAGTTGCTAGACTTAGGTACTGTAAAGTTACTATGCAGCAAAAAAAAATATCCCGGCGATGCCTCCTAATCATCATCGTCGTCGTCATCACCACCCATAAACTGGAACTGCTTCTTCTCGCCCGTAGGAGAAGCGCTCGGCAGCGGAACCCCTGCACCTGCACCCGTACCCGCACCCGCACCAGCAGCCCTGGCGTCGCCGCCCATACCCATACCCACACTAACACTAGCGCGGCGCCACCCCTCGGCCTCCTCCCTCTCCCTCGCGCGCTCGCGCTCGGCGCGCAGGCGGGCGTTCTCCTCGCGGGCCCTGCGCTCGCGGTCCTCGCGCTCGGCGCGTTCCCGGTCCTCGCGGGCGCGGCGCTCGTCGTCCTCGCGCTCGCGGCGCGCCCGCTCCTCCTCCGGGTCGTAGTCCTCCGGGTCGACCCCTTGCTCGGCGAGGAAGGCGAGCGAGGCGATGGCGCCCTTGCGCACCTGCTCCTCGCTCGGCCACGGCACGAACTCGAGCCCCGCGTGCGGGTTCAGGTGCGCGTGCAGGTGCTCCGGCAGGTGCCTGCTGCTATTGTTATTGCTGTTGCTGTTGCTGTTGGCAGTCGTCTGCTGCGACGCCTCGAATGATGATGATGATGATGATGGCCCCGCGCCGTTGGTGCTGGCGGCGGGGGTCGCGGCCGTGGCCTGCGGTTGCGTGGCGCCGTTGGGAGTCTCGCCCGGGGTCGTGGCCGCCGTCTCGGTGCCCCCGTTTTCGATCTTCAGCTGCGAGTCCAGGGTCGACGGCGGTATGCTGTTCACGGCCCCCACCGGCGGTATCGTCGTCTTGCTGATTCTGCGCGCGTAGCTCAGCAGCTCGTCGTATTTGATCTCGTAGCTCGGGCCGGACGGGAATATGGTCGCCGGGGTGCTGATGAGCTCCTTGCGCGTGTTGGCAAGGAGCCGCAGTGTGTCCTTTATCTGGCCGTCGAGGCTGGCGGTGGCGGCGCGGAGACTCTGGATGCGGCGGTAGTTGGACTGATGAGTTTGTACTGCATCTCGTATTAGTCCTCATGCGCATAAGCATTCCCTTGAAAAGCCCCAAGACTGGGCTTGTTAGTGCGGTGATGCTCACGGTCTCGTAGGCCCTTATTGAGCTCTTCGTCTGCTTTCCCTAGTTCGTTGACTTGATGCGTAGATGGGTTGTACTTGGCGATCGAGTCAATCAGTGTCCCTAAAGCCCTCTCGACGCGGTCGAAGCAAGTATCAAGCTGTTTGTCCATGGTTGAGGTAACGCGACTGCGTGGTTGAACGTGTGGGAATAGGAAAAGTGCTTGCCGTTCCCGGAGTTGAAAGCCAGAATATCCAAGCTTGAGTGGTTGGCGTTGGCTTGTCGGGCAGGTGCCGGCCAGCCGTAATATGGCTGATGAGGTCCCTATGTGGGTAGGTACAATAAATGTGGCTGTCGATGTCATTGTGGCTGATGTTACCGGCTTCCTCCGAGGCCCAAAGAATGTCGCGCAGCTTTGCACCTCTCGAACAATAGAAAATCGTCATTTAATAATTCAACAGTCAACATCCCACTTGCCATTGCGACCTCACTCTCGCTCTCTTCGACCCCCAGTCAAGATGTCCTTCAAGGTACGATCTTCCTCAGCTATCCGGAGCCCCGATTCCCACACTGACGGACATGTTTGGACCTGCGGAACTCAGTTGAATCTTGGGCGATCTTGTTGCTAATTCCTTTGGGCTGCAGCCTCCCGTTTACCGGGTTGATTACCCGACCTACAAGAGCCCCTACGGCCCGAAGTGAGTGCCCACCGGAATCATCTCTCGATAACTTGGAGGGGATAGCGATGTGCTCTGGGGTAGTGAAGGGAAGAACGGAAACGGTGTGGTGGTGGTGGGGGGGGGGAGCGACAAGACCGCAGAGCGAACATTCACGGGGACTGGACCAGCGGCCGCTGACGACGAATGCGAATAGGTACCACTACCAGCCGAATGTCGCCGGATGGCCCGCAAAGCAGCTCGCTCGACTGTAAGAAACCCGATGTTGAATATCCCTTCTCGAGCTCTTGAGCTCGAGAACTTGCAATATCTACGGGCTCAGGTGATCTCATAAAGGCGCCTTTGCGTCCGATCGAGCGCAAGCTATTATACCGAAGACGGGGGCCGTCAATATGGTGCTAACAGCATTTTATACAGTGGTGTGAAGACCGGTGCCTTCGGCGGCGTTGCCCTCTTCGCGGTCATCTTCTACGCGTCCGGCATTCCCAGAGTACAGAAGGACATCCTCCAGAAGATACCGTTCCTCGGGAACTACTTCATCAAGGAGATTCCCGCCTCGGACAACGTAAGACCCTGAAATTGCTCTCAAAACCTACCCTTTCTAACGGCATTCATAGCCATTCTAAGCTGTAACTCTGTGGTTTGGTGGGGCGTTCTATTGAAGATAGACAGAAAAGGGGGGGTCATCGTGGAAGTAGCGGGCGTGAATAACGAACGAACCCTGTACAAAAAAACAATTACAAACAATATAGTTTTTATTGATCATACAAAGTCGTTCCCCCTCTCCTCTAATGATACGGAGGGTTTAATTCCTTGATTCTAACACATGCCGACTTCAACTCATCTCTTGTCTATGCTGATGGTGGTGATACAGATGCCCAAATGTGGGCTGTTCGATGTTTCTACCGTCTTCTCTTTACCCTTCTATGCCCTTTTCCCCAGCCAGATAATTCCTCATTTCGCTCTTCATACGAGTAATTGTACCGGCACCGCCATAAACAAGACCAGTGTACACCATGGCGATGCTCGCGCCAGCGTTCAGCACTTCCAGTGCTTGCTTTCCATTAGTAATGCCACCCGTGGCAAATATAACCTTCTGGTCTGGTGGCTTCCTTTCACTCGGTTTGGGTTGGGACTTTATGCCCTCTTTAGGTGGCCCGGTGATAGTTCCGTCGAGAGCTGCTATGCTCTGATCAACAGCCTCGTCAGCTACCACTGTCTCCTCGACTGACTGCAACGACCGGTCATCTAGCATTTTCCTGTACCGCTTAACCAGGTCCACGGTGCGGTCAAACATCATCGGGCCGGAGAAGCCACCAGTCTCTGCCATGGCTAACTGCTCCTTCGATGTGATCTTGACTCCCGGTGGGATCAAGCCCGCCCGTCGCTTCGTAGTATTCCCCACGATGACTCCGTCGACGCCGCTCGACCAAACTGCTTGGACAATCCCACCTATCTGGTCATCTTCGTCCTCGTCCGGTGAGACTTTTACCATCACCTTGGGCTTCACCTTCCGGTCTGTCTTCCGAGCCTCGTCGACGACCGCGCTCAGAATTTTCGTCAGGGGCTCGACAGCCTGTAGGTCACGCAACCCCGGCGTGTTCGGACTGCTCACGTTCACGACGAGCACGTCCGCGTACCTCGCCAGCCGCCGGACGCAGTAGACGTAATCCGCCTTGACAGCCTCGACATTGCGCTCGTCCGTCTCCTTGTTCTTGGCGATCTGCACCAGCAACAGGCGACCGGGCAGCAAACTACCTGGCGGCACGTAGGCGTCCCCGTTCAGCACGCTGTCCTCGTCCAGCCCGACCGTCTTTGCGAACTTCCGGACCCGCTGCTGAAGCCGCATGGCCATGTTATCGGCGCCGTGCGAGTTCAGCCCGTACCGGTTTATGAGGCCGTCGAGGCCGGGGATCCTGAACATGCGCGGCTTGGGGTTGCCCTCCTGCGGCAGCGGCGTGCAGCCGCCGACCTCGACGACGGAGGCGCCGAGCGCGAACAGCCCGTCGGGGACCTCGGCGTGCTTGTCCAGCCCCGCAGATATGCCGATGGGGTTCGCCAGGTGCGATCCAAAGACGGAGACCGAGATGTCGGGACCGGTGGCCCCAGCGGAAGGTGAGAACCGCTCGCGGGGGTGCAGGTTCAGGCTGTACAGGTTCTTCATGGACGAGACGGCGGCATCGTGGGCTTGCTCGGCATCGGGGTAGATCGCGCGCAGCAGGGGCGGGACGACGTAGCGATGCACGAAGGCGCGGGTGTCGGTAGCGTAGAGGTAGACCAGGCCGCCGGATACGACTATCGAGGTCGCATAGAAGACGGCTTTGGCCCGAGACAACGCCGGAGCCTTGACGGTGGACGAAGAAGCCGCACGCCGCGACATTTGGGGGAAAACCGGGCTCGGGGCCGGTCGGGACTTCGCCAGCGTACTTGTGGCCGAGAAGAGGGGGCGGCGGGGGTTTGGGTATGAAGATGCCATTGTCACGATGGTGTCGTGGGCTTGGTAGCCCTCAATGGCAAGCGGGTGAGGCGAGAAATGTGGTTTTGAGACAAATGGGTACAAACGGGGGTTCCTGTCGCCCGCGAGGTTCATATTGACGTAAAAGAAGCAAGGGGTCCGTACCGAGGGTTGCATGCAATTAGGCGAGTGCATGCACGGCCTAATACAGCTGACAGCAGCTGTCACAAGCAGGTAAGTTAACTGACATGGTCATGTCACTCAATTCATGCATCCAATGGTAAATGCTACGTATTCAACCCAAAGACTACCTGTAAATACCTACACTCTAGAATATA